ATCCCGGCTACGCCCCTGTTTTTAAATGTCTTAAACGAGCATAATAATTAAACTTGTGCTCTCAGTAATTAAACACCCTTTTACGATTATACGGCCAAAATAAGTCAGAACTGTTACAATAATAAACTTAAGGCTTTCATGTGTGCCTGTTAACATTACTCACGCTATACAGCTCAAACTCTCTACTTTAGAAACCATTCTATGTGATTAGCAAACAACCACTGCTAGTCGACTGTGCTGTGCTGGTACTTGCGTATTATTACTTGTAGACAAAGATATTCTGGAAATAAACATTTTCTAACAATAAAATAAGCTATAAACAGCCATAAAGTGTCACCTAAAAATTCCTTTACTCGTAGGTGATTTGAACTCTCCAACCTACAGTTACGTGGCGCAGACATGCGCACTAACTCACTGGGCTGCACAAACTATTTACTGTATACACGTGTGATAAGGTGTGTCTATATATATATATATATATATATATATATATATATATATATATATATATATAACATAAATCCACAGTTACCGCGTATTTTATAAAGTTGTGTTTATTCTTTTATTATGCCGGTGTGAGTAATACGCAACGTTTCCCGTTACTTATGCTTACATTAAGTTTCATTCTGTTCATACACATGTTTTACAGAACTTGTAATGTATTCGTAGACAGGCAAATACAGCTTTGAGTTAGGAACTCGGGTGTCCGCCATCTTGTCTGTCCCAGCTTGTGGGTGCAGCAGACATTCAGAACACTATCTACTGTTGCGGGGTTGGGACTGGGGGTGACAGAGATGGAGTGTGTGTGAGAGAGAGGGTAGATGTCACAGTGGCAACGCCGCGGACATTCCCCACGCTCACGCCAAGAAAGTGGACTAGAGCGACTTGGTGTTCATCCCTCGAACTACAGCTGGAGTTGTCAGAAAATTTAACCTGGTATATCTTTACTCAATGGTGTTGATGATGACTGATCTCTTCTTAAAGTGGTAAATCCAATATACCATTTAACTGTATGAGAACTTGGTTCATTAACATCTTCTCCTGAATAATGGGATATACCTCTAATAAAATATACTGTTGCTCGAAATAGCTGAATTCATTTCCGTGGTTCCTATTAGTGGCGCGTTTTCCACTACATAAACGTACTCAAGCTAATATTCAATTTATTTTTAAACGATAAGATGTATTGCTTTTTTCACGCATGACGATTGGTTCATTTCGCCTGCTTCCTTCCCCTTTCTTCATAATAATTTATGGCTCGATTTTATGTCTTATGCAGGAATTATTCGTTTCCCAATAAATGCAGGAACGTGTCGATATTTTAAAGTACATACCATGCTGTTTTTGACCAATTGTATGTTGATGGTTGGAATGTTGTGGCTGTACTACAAAGTCAGGCAGATAACTAAAATCATATAATAGCATCTGTAAAATATTTACTTCACAATAATTGAAATCTACAGGAAATGATAGAATCAGATAAAGTGGGTGACGCTGGACCTTAATGGCATTGTTTATAACGATAACAAAAATTACATAGTTACCTTATAAAATTACTATATAACTTATATTATCTCAACATACTATAGTAATTTTTGGGAAACAATTAAATAGATTCTTTTATGTGGGATATTTCACAAGGTGATTTGTACAGGGCTTCTTTAACCATGACAAGAACGGGACTCTGTTGAACATAACATAATTACCTCAAGGGGCCGCTGTTGGCGGAATGGCTAGAGTCTAGGTGTGAGGAGAAAAGGATTATATTCCAGGCACTCCCGGATTTTCTAACGTGGGAAATCGTGTTGGACCATACCGCTGGTTGACGGATTTTTTCGTGGCTCTCCCGTTTTCTCCGTTATAGCATTCCAGTGCTGCTCTATACCTCTCTTCACTCACATCGGCTCTCAAGACCTCGCTGTTAAAGGCTGCCCAAATCTCTTCACGCTCGACAATTACCTCTGCATATAGCTGCCGGAAGCAAACAACAATAATTGTTTCTGGAGCAGTGTTGAATGCGAGAAGGACAGCACTACACTACCAGCACTTTGTTTCTGATGAGCTTCAGCTCACAGCTCGTACAGTTCTCGTGAAAGCGGCCCATATATCTACGAGTGTACGAGTCTGGTTCGCGAGTGCCGCTCGGGTTGCAGGTGCCACAACTCGCACTGGTTTATTGTTTCATTATGACATTGTGAGACATCTGAAATGTTTCCTTTAACTTACGTTTGCTTTAAATTTCATTTTGTACAAAAATGCGTTTTACAGAACCAGTAATCTTTTCATAAACGGACCTATACGGCTTGAGGTTGTTTGCTCGGATGCCCATCATCTTGTCTGCCGTAACTCCGTCGGCTATAGCAGAGGTTTAGAACACGTTCTATTACCGCCGTTTCGAGTATGTCCATGAGCGAGCGAGCGAGTGAGTGAGCGAGTGAAGGGTTTTGGCGGCTCCGATGAGGATGAAGCGAGGTGAGTATGGAGCAGCACCGGAATGAGAAGGCGGGAGACACGGGAGATCCCGAGGGAACCTGCCGACCAGCAGCATCGTCCGGTACGAATACCACATGCGAAAACCGGGCTCACCTAGGTGGAAGGCGAGTAGTCTAATCACCGCGGCCCAATTCGGGCGAGCCTATGGGTAAGAAGACTGTAATGCTTGGAGCCTGACCCCTCTCGAGGGGGCTGAACAGTAACCTAGATGGAGCAGACACGCTAGCAGCAAATGGCCATGAGAACTGCTACGGAAATTGGCAGAATATAGAGTCGGCTTGACGAGTCAAGCTCGCGCACCGGCAAGCCAAGCCCGAAATGGCTCGGCTCGGCTCGGCTCGGCTCAGCTAACTATTGAATTGGCTCGTACGTGATGCCCACTCTACACTCTCGCCGAGACTTTACTAGAACAGCCAAACACGAGAGTGTAGAAAGTGCTCTCGTCTCGGCTAGCATAGCCTAGCCTCGTCTCGGCTTGGTGTCGGTTTTTTGTACCCGAGACAAAGGTATCTCGTCAAGTTTCGTGTCTAGGCGAGAACGCGCTCTCCACATTCTTGGCGTCTCATGTAAACGCGGACTGCCTACTTCTGTTCTGCGCTATGATTTGTTTTAATTATGTTGTCAGACGACCTACAGATGACATTTCTGGAGTTCTATCAACAAGAACCAATATTGTGGGATCTTACAAATGCATCACACGAAGACAAGTATGTATTATTTATGATAATAAATATTATAGCGTCAGATAAAACGTAACCTGACGCTTTGTGGTATTAAGTGCACTTTTGTTTTTGCTTTCAGAAACAAAGTATACGATGCTTGGCTTCGCGTCTGTGCCATAATGGATCTTCCGTTCGAAGAATTGAAGAAAAAGAAAGACTCTTTATTGGCGACCTATAGGATGCATGTAAGAAAAATAAAAACATCGTTACATTCCGGGGCTGGCACCGCAGACGTATACAAACCCATATGGTTTACTTTTGAATTTATGGACTCATTATTGGGGGAAAGGAAGGAATACGAAACCAGGAACACAATAGGCAACTGAAGTACTTTAATGAATATTTATTAAAGTACAAAAGTAGTTCACAAATTCCTCTCTAATTTGTATTGCATCTAAAGATGGTCTACGCAGTATTTGGGGGTAGATTTCGAATGGCGCTGTTTTCTTCGAACTCTTCACGCCATACACCAGGTTGTAAAAACAAGTCATTGTCGTCTTACTCGTCAAATGTACCCGGTGGAGTGTATATCTGGCTGGAAGTATTACTTTTTCTTAGAAAAGCATGTAGTAATATGGAATTCATACATATGAGCGTGACTTTTTCTGGACTTAAAGCAAATTGTTTTCGAAACACTCGGAATTTTGTTGAGAGTACGCCAAATGGGTTTTCTACTACCACGCGGAATTTTGAGAGCCTTTAGTTGAATATGCGCTTTGGTGTCCCAGAACCGTAATTACCAGGAAAAGGCTTTATGATATGTGCACTCAGTGCAAATGCTCAATCGTCCAAAAACACGTATGACACGTTTCTGTTCGAGCCAGCAGGAAGTAGCCGAGGCACTGGCACATTAAGGCTGACTGAACACATTCTTTGCCACAGCCAAACTCTCTCTGAATACCTCACTTCACTATTTCAGCCACGGTTTCCTATATCAGCAAAAGTAAATTCGTAACTGCTATCAACTAAGGCTAACAGTAAGTACTAAAGTTTTTTTTTTGCAATTTAAGTACTCAAATCCGGAATCAGCAGGACATTGTAGAACAACATGTTTTCTGTCGATAGATCCCAGACATCGAGGGAAGTACTTTTTAAAGCCTTCTTCAATTTCCAACCATACTTCAGTTGATGCCGGCATCTGTAACAAAACTTTAAGTTAGTGTATGAAACTTTTTTTTGTTCGGATGTGGAATGTTGTACGCTGCACTGAAAACAAAAAAAAAGATTTGTTAGTGTCTGCAAAAATCTTTTTGCAGAGCTTCATTTTGTAATCGACGCTAAACATTGTTGTGTCTGTTAACAATGTAGTTTAACGAGCAGTAACTCAGTTTAGGTGGTACTCACAACATTTATTTACTACAGGTTATATTTAGTAGTGACTAGAACTTTGTATGCAGTACCAACACTATGTTTAGTGTTTACAACATTTCATTGTGTAGGTACAACTACGTGTATGTTAGTAACCAACAAAACATTTTATAGCGGCTGGTGTAGCCTATAGCTTGCGACTGCAGCGCTGCATTATGGAACTAAACAGCTCTTGTGCCCACGTCACAACGCCGCCATGTTGGAGTAATAGTCCGTATGTAATGTTTTTGGCATTCAAATAAGAGATCAAACGCACGAAAGTAAATTGTGTGCGTGTATCATTGATTTATTTATTGGTAGAGTTCTTGTGAAGTGGATAAATTGAGGACAAATATTTTCCTCGTAGTATTAACGAACAAAATTAATACGTGTGTTGGTGGAAAAATATACAGAAGTATTGGTCTCCTGCCTTAACCAGGTCTTGTAGTGTAGAGGTAACATGTCTGACTACGGAGCACAAAGTCGATGGTTCGGGCCCTACCCATGGCTGGAATAATTGTATTTTTACTGCAATGCCTTAAAACATATAGTTTGAGGTGAAAACTAAAACCAAATTACAAAATAATGATGTGACTGCTACAAAAACCTTTGTGAGGTCTATATTGACAATAGAATATTGTGGTGACCAAACAATTGTTTCTGCTTATTGCAAAACTGTTTGTTTAGTGTGTCTATATAACTAGTAGGAACATTAATTTCATGAGTGATATTTGAGATGTTTTTTGTTTTAATTACAGGAAGAGAGAGAAGAAGGACCGGAGAATAAAGAAGAGGAAACGCAACAGAGCCAAGAGGAAGTCGCCAAAGACCTTTCAGGTCAAGTCCATCTCCTGCTTCTTCACCCACTCCTAATTAAAACCGCCCCTGTTCTTCCTGTTCGTCATGCTCTGAGTCTGTACCGTCAGTAACTGGTTATAACCCAATTAAACTATGTTTATCGTGTCATTCCGCCCCACTAAACCCTTTTTCTCAAACTAACCACCAGTTGTCGTTCCCATGCACTACAAACACCGAATATTCCACCATTCATATCCCAAGTACAGTATGTGGAGCAGCAAAAATTGTTACTCATGCTTTTGATAGTGAATAATTAATAATATATAATATAACGATTATTACAATTTGATTTTGTATGACTGCATTGCCATACACATGATAAACGTGTACTTGATTACATATAACTTGCTTATTTTGTTTTAACTCACCTTAACTTTTTCTTTTAAGAATTCGTTTAGCGCCTCTCACACTTCAGGTATAACTTTAGAAATCAGTTGATATGAAACTTTGAATAAGAAATGGAGCCTCTCGTAGCTGTCTCCTGATGCCAGGAATCTTAAGGTGACGGCAAGCCATGTTCGGGTTGGAATCGGTTCCCGCATTTGAGTGTGTTTTCTCTCTCTCTCTCTCTCTCTCTCTCTCTCTCTCTCTCTCTCTCCTCTCTCTCTCTCTCTCGGAAATAGCATGAGAAATTTTATCCAACAAGTATTCAAAATCGTCTAGCGACATCCGAGTAAATTTTTTGAATTCACCAGAAGACTCATACTCATACACTAATTCTGATAATTGTGTTTCCATGGTCAGTCTGTAACAAATAAGAAACCAACCGATGAATTAATTCCATGGCATTTACTACTCTTCTGCTTATCGCAATGTTTAATGTCAAATAAAGTATTTACCTTGTTCTATTACGATGTGCCGCTTTCACCCACCATCTCATTTTCTTCCAAGGTTTCTTAATTGTTTTTGTGTCATAATTATGCACAAGATAATAATCTGAAACCGCACAAAGAGGAACAGCGGCAGCCTCTTCTACGTCCATCCTTCGTCAACGCGAGTAGACTACTCGACTGGGCGAGACGAAACGAGAATGTGGAGAGCAACATTCGGAAAGTCTCGTCATGACAGGTTCTCGCCAATAGCTCTCGGCGAGAGCGAACAGCGGGCGAGCCAGATTCGTTTATCTACATGCGTGTGCAGTATGTCATTGTTATTTATTCTGTATTGTAAATACAGAAGAGTCTGCTTCCATGGTACACCACTTACGTCTCCATCAGATATTCTGAAGTAGTTTTTGTAGCCATCAGAATTATATTTTGTAATAGAAATTAGTAAATTTAAACGCTCGAATCTTTGTCTTTCTATGAACCAGTACTTAAATTCACTTTCGTCTTTTATTTATTTGTCGTCTCGAGCACGCCATATTCGTCTGTTGATCACTGCAGCTTGACATGAATAATTTCAAAACTGGCAAGTCAAGAGAATTACAGCGAAGTGTCGGTATCCAGGCCAAGGGAAGAAGCCACAGTGGCAAAGATTATAGTTAGTAAAATTTAGCACCGAAGAGCAGTAGATCTCCCCTCCAAGGCGGAACAGTAATCGGGACCATTACGTCAACAATAAACTGTATAACACTTGTTAAAGGCTGTTCACGATAAAGTGAGCAATTTTGAAAACAACCTTAGAAAATTGTCACTGGCCCTGCTGTCATATATTTTAACGGATGTACTGAGGGACATCACCCAGTGTTGGTAACGATAAATGAAAAGTAGTTCGCTATGTTAACGATGAGTAAAAAGTTTTGGGTAACCATTTGCGATAATTTAAATTATTTCTTTTGTTTTCTATTTTTTGTTAATACAAGGAAGGGTAAACATGACCAGATTTGTAAAATATTTACTTTTCTAATAACTTCAAAGTTTCACTTGACCCACGCATGAATAAAAAGTTGTGGCCCATTGCAATATTAATTTTTCATGAGGTGGAAGAATACATAACGTGAATACAAATAGACCATGATGAAAATTTGAGTTTTAAAATACATTTAGTTGAAAATATCAGAAACCAATTGAGATAAAGCAACAAATCGGCGAATAATGTTATATATAAAGGAAATCTTACACTTCTAAAAAGGTGATCAGTAATATCATCTTATTTCCTTTGGAAATGTCTGTTGGCACTGTAAGTTTCCATCAAACTTTGTAACATCACGTTCTAAGCAATGTTTGAAGAGATACTGTTAATCAGAATGTTTAAATTAACAGAAAAGGCCGTCTTGTTAGAACACTCTCAAGTGAACCGTTTGTGAGGTAATTCATATTGATATTCAAAACAGAACGTGTGTTGCTATCAGGTAAGCAAACCACAATACAGAGTAAGGTTATTTAAATGAGGAGTTTTCAGGGACGCACAGCTCCCTAAATTGTCACTTAACTATAAATGTGGTACTTACGTCATAGTCTTATATTGTGGTCAAGAATATACTGCCGAAGTTTGTCGCCATGTTTTAGAAAGACGCTGAATAACTTTAGTAACCATAAACCACGACTAGTAAAAAATGTAGGGATATAAGAAGTTGCAACTAGCTTCGTCAAACTCATTTTGGATAGCGAAATTTTCGCGGAGTCTTTTCGTCTTGTGTGTGATCAAATACATGCGGCGAGACAAGCTCGTTGTTTGCGGAGTGTGGTTTATTCGCGTTGGAAGAGCGCTTGTGACAGCTTGATGACTGGCCATCTCTCTCGCCGTGCGTTAGTGCCCGCCAATCAGAGACTCAATTCTTCGGAACACAACACGCGCGCGCACACACGCACACACACAGCACCACCACCGGGCCTTTTCATTAGCCGCGCGCTCGAAAACGCACCCCCACCCCCTCTCCTACCCGTGAGCGAGTCCCTTATCTACGTCAGCAACGTTCAAAGCGATTCCATTATTTGTTTTGTTACGGTGCCACATGTAATTTTTTTTTTTTTTTTTGCCGTTTATACACACGAGTTCCTGCAGCACAATGTCGGTAGAGTGGAATTGCATTGTTGTCAGGATGTCGGGTTTTCATGTGGAGGAGCATGCACTTAAAACAATAGGTTCAGAAGGACGAATTTATGGCGTTTTTTTACCCTCGAAAATATTTCGTCCTTTTTTTTTTTTACGTAGTTCCGCTTTAAAACTGCGCAATTCACTTCTGATTCCACCCCCCCCCCCCCCACACCCTTGACAGTCCACATTCAGCATCAACGGCGAAAGGTTGTCTCCACAATGCTTTTTGTTTTCGTAGGAATCAAAACGATTAAAGAAAAATCTATATTTTATCATTTTTGTTACTGGCATCGAAAGTACGCAGTGTTAAATTAGCCATGGCTGTTAAGCGTTTATAAGCTAAGAAAAGAACATTCGTGTACCATCCATTTTTTGAATAATGTATTTTTCTTATAATTAATACAAGTAATTGGTTTTAATGCATGAAATTACAATTATTATTAAACACATATCATAGCTTATTCTAGGACATTTATAAATATTAATTTTTATTAAATGGCATACTTCTTTAAAAGCAAATAAGGGATAGACGTACAGGGCATTACATTTTTGTACGCATGTTTTTGTGCATAACTGAAAAAATGAACACATACAAACTTTTATTAATAGCATATTAATATAAAATATGCCATCGATTATATTCGCATTTCAAGAGAGATGAGCTTCACATCCGTAGGCTTGCTTACAATTCCGTTGTTTCATTCAGCCTTCATTAAAACAACAGACTAAAAAAATATGCGATTTGCGCAGTACTTAGCAGCCGGTTATTGGTAGCATCTTCAAATTGACAGGCATAAAATATAATCATGGGAATTTTCATATAAGGATACGTACCTTTAGGGAAACTGTATGATCAAGAGAAAGTTGTGTGATTTTAACGTTCTGTTAAGAGGGATGTGCGGAAGGTATGTCAACTTTAACCCATATTTTGGGCTCAACAAAAAACAAATAAACCCACAGCTGGTGGTAGAGGTTATAAATGAACAGATTAGTTGTCATTGAAAAGTAATTCCTGAGGGAAAATTAGCAGGTTCAATTTATTTATTATTTTGTCTATCAGACTATAATTACGGTTATATTATCATAGAGCTTAATAAACCAGGCATGTTGCATACTGTTAGGTGTAAAATCTTATGCCACATGACTATCTGCACATATATTTTCCCAATTTAAATTTAAATAAAGTTTGTCGTTTTCCGAATGTCCTTGTTATAGTATGCTTTGACGATCCACTGGAATTTACTTTCGGCATTTCTAGAAGTATTTTTTTTCTGTATTGTTTGGATCTTTGACGACGGATAAATCCAGTGGATTGTGTTTGTTTAATTTTAGGTAGTATGACGCCTGGCTAGTTTTATAAATGTAAGATGTGATAATTCCTTAATATTCAATACGATTTTATTGGAAGACTAATATGCACCCATGTATCTTTCATTATCACTTTGCTTTCAAACATTATAATCTTCTGTTCTTCAGTTTAGGCCTGTACATGTCTCACAAGCATAAATCGAGGTTGCAATAGTAATCAATATTTAGTTGTTTCAAAAGAACATAACTGTATTTATTGATATTTCTTATTTTCTACCTATTTCATCTCTAATCTTTTAATTAGTGTTTTAGAGTGCAGCCAGATATTTGTTCATTTATGCTTCTTTAAATGTGTATGTATCAATA